TGAACATAAAATTTCCTTCCTTCACCAGATGAACAGCCTGTGAATCTTAGGTCTGTGAAGTTGCGATGGTGCTACCCTATACTGACGCTCTTTGTATGCTTGCGCCAGTTTACATATTGTAGTGTACACACATCCCGAAGGAGTACGGCCACCAGCGCGAGTCCGGTCTTAGCGAGCCGCAAGGCACACATTAACCGTCGCCGTGGTGAGAACATGGTAATGCTCAAGGTCGCAACACTTTATTGTCTGTGGCAACACCCAAACGCAGTACAGAGCTTGTTGCAAAGGCGCGGCGGAAAAGCTAATGGGCTTATCCACGCCATAGGTGAGAAGTACTACACAGGGGTGCCGCGAGCACGTCTCCGTGATAAAAGTGATTCACGAAGACACCGGGACAAAGGCCCAGTTCCTTGAGCGAAGGCAAAGGCACTCGCCTTGGCTTCGGAGAGATACGGGTCTACATAGCCTGGCCACGCACTGGGACACCGCACCGCTTTTCGGCATAGCGTTCGCTAAGGGGCAACAAAAAGTGAGCGTTTGCCATGAGCGCGAGGCGTTGTTGGCGAAGTCTGAACGATCCCCAAGCAATAGGAGTCGATGGACAGAAAAAAATGCGTGCTCACCCTCAGCTGTCCCGGAGAAATCTGACTCGCTCACTCCGGACGTGCACGCATGAAACGTCCCGAGAGACTTTGCACGAGGTGCCACAGTTGACATCTGCTACCGGGCGAGAGGGGTTAAACGTCACTCCTTGCTTCCCCAGTGAGGCAGACAGTGGAGGGGAGTCATGTCAGGACATGAGAACAACAGCAAAGGCAGCGAATAGCCTCAATTCCCACATCACCAGATGCAATTAGCAAATTAAGTTCAACTAGTGCTATGTCCTCTTCTGTCAGTCTGCTCGGCCATTTCTTCTTTACTGTAATGTGCCATATCACTTCAAGCATGATGAACCAATTCGCCCAAGCTTCAACACTAGTGGACTTCAATCAAGCACCACTGATTGTTTCAGCAAGTCCATTGTGATGTGTTGCCAAGGTCTTATTCAGAGCTTATGAGGGGCATTTTTCTACCGATTTCTTTAGATGCAATGCTGATATTGCTTTACCATGCACGAACCATCAGATCATATGCATTCCACCAGATGATATCTGGCTCGAGCAAGTGAGTTAGCATAGATGGTCATAGAAGGGTTCAAGGCCCTGTCGTCTTTCCTGGAGGGCCACTTCTTCCACAGCAGACAAAGTTGAGTGTAAATATGGCCTGCTTGTTGGAATGTATTTAATCATAAAAGACAATGTTCCTTTATCAGAATAGGAGAGCTTCAACGCTTTCTTGTACAGTCAAATTCCACTTTAGTGAAGCCCGCTACAAAGAATGGGTCAGGCTAGTAATGGAGAAGGGGTTGCTGCATCGGGAGCCGGATTACTAGAGGCCAGATTTGTAGCCACTAAAGAACCCGGCTGCAGGTGCCGAAAAAAGGCAGGAAAAACACTTTTAGGCTCCCAAAATCGTAAAAACATAGGCACAATAAAATTTTACATTTTCAAAAAAAATACACGCGATATGCGTGTCAAGCAAATAGAAATGCAAATAGAAATGCTTCAGGTTTTGATGTATGGGACAAAGGCGCTAATGATATAGCATAGCCATATACGTTTTTCCCGCATGGTTTGCAGAATACGGTCTCTCCACTTCGCGTCCAGCATGGTGTTAAGTGTCGACCTTCGAATAGACATGCTCCTTGGTATCTCTTTTCAGCATGGCTGAGAAGGGCTACACAGGTACAAATAGCCTGAGCACAATAAGCCAGAAGGCTCTTTTTACCTCGTATAAACTTAGTCTAACCAGTCTGTCAATGAACATCCCAAAGGGCCCTTAGTCAGGTTTGAGAATTTCGAGAAGCTGAAAGGAATGCATGCACTCGGCGTTCAAGATCTCATCTGCCAAAATTTGCAGTGCTACACGCACCATAAAGAGGTGAAATGTCTGACTGAACACCTGCTTGACCTTCATCTCACGGGCGTGGGCCCCAACATAATGGAGATGATGTATACAAGTGCTGCATACATCAAAGAAACACGCTTGTTACATAAGGGACAATGCAAGAACTATTCGAGACTACGTGTGTAATTTGTGCAATCTGTTGTCTGAATAGAAGTATATGAAGGTTGACAGAAATATTAAGACATACAGACGGAATACACGCGTTATTTTTAACTTCGTATCGATCAGAATGGGAGACGATGTTTCCATTTCAGTTTGCATTCATGTTCTCACCATTCTCGCATCGTGCCGGTGTCAGCATTCACAAAACTTAGGGTATGTTTTTAGTGCATCGTCCCTTAGAGGAGTTGTGGTGCGATGCTGTGTATCGTGGTAAGGATACGTGACCCATGCCAGCCTCTCCAAACATGCGCGCATAGAGGGATCCATTCCACAGAAACAGGCAATACAATACAGATCGCGTGTGCGATCTGGCATGGGCATGTCATGCAAGTGTAACCTTACGGGCGTATGACGAGCTGATGTGTTCAAGTCATCTAATTCTATTGCGCAGAGTTGCTTTGATACCAAATAGGGGAGTGAAGAAATTTGGCTTGCGAAGTCTACATCGAGTGAGCTGCGAAGGTTTCAAGCTCACCTCCTCACATCATGCTTTCACAGCTGGTAATGAACCAATTAAAAAATTCTAGTGATACAAAGCTTTTCATTGGACACACAACAACTTACACTGTCTAGGTAAAATTTATCATGTGACCTAGTGAAGATCCGTTTAAGTAAATGACAAATAAAACAAAAACCACATGGATATCATTTTTTATATCTACATTTTACTTTCTCTTGATGACACTCGATGGCTCTTATGCCTGCGAGTCCGCAGCGAACGTCCATGCCTCGGAGAAAGGAAATCTGTGTCAAGGCCAGCACGCGAGCCCGCCTGAAGCGATGAACAACTCAACGGCGTCATCACGCGACGGCGCCTTTCTGCTGCGCACGTGCAGTGAGTCACCTCAGCCAGCGAGCCCGTCGAGCAAGCAACCGGCGCCTTCCTGTCTGGCGGGTCTGACGCAATGCCTGGTGACGTCACTCGTCCTTGGGTGCAGCCACCTGCAGCGCAGCCTCTCCAAATTTGATGAGAAAGAATGACGCGGCCCAGCGGCGACCCCATTGGAGGAGTCTGACCTCGCGACCAGCGGCGCTTCTGGTTGGACATTTGTTTTCACAAAGAATCCACCCGGTGCATATAAAAGAAGCCCTGCGGCGCATCGCGAGCAGCTGCCATGTGTGTCAGAGAAGAAAGCTATGTGATAGAGAGTTGAGCTGTGTGTCAGAGAAGAGAGCTATGTGATAGAGAGTTGAGCTATGTGTTAGCAGCAGACCTTTTGAGAGCAGACCCATTTGAGAGAGACCTATGTGTTAGAGAGGAGAGCAGGCTCTTCGAATCTCTGTCGGCCCAAGTGCCGAATTTGTAACGCCTCTGTATATATGCTGTACATAAACCTTGTTTAACTCACCGTCGTCTCGTCCGCTCGTCTATCAGCTCTGCGCAGAAGCAGTCGCGAGCCGAGAAACCTACGCTACCAAACGGCTGGTGACCTTCCCGGCGGAGTTCGAAGCAGTGGCGCCTTCGGGACCGTGTTGGCGTCGCCGTCTTTCGAAACAGTGGTTGCAGCGGTGAGATTTCGTGGCGCCCTTCGTAACGTCGTTGGAGGCGCGCTTCGTAACATGGCCTAGCATTCGTTCTTCATTGTCCTGCCGCGACACAGAAGCATCTCCTGCTCCCTACGCAAGCGGGCAGACCTCGGAGAGATGCCAGCAGACGTCGCGACATGGATGAATACATGCGTAGCGAAGTGATCCCACTGGGGACTAGCGATTTGAAGCAATTTTTGGAGCAGTCAAATTTTAGTTTTGGAGCACTTTGGAGCAGTAAAATATTAGTTTTGGAGCATTTTAGAGCAGGTAATCTTGCAGTTAGGAGCACCTTGGAGCAATAAAATTTTTGTTTTGAAGCATTTCGAAATAGGTAATCTTGATATTAGAAGCATATTACAGCAGTAAAATTTTAGTTTTGGAGCTGGTAGTCTTACTATTAAGAGCTCTTTGGCATAGTTATATACTAATAATGGAGCATTTCAGATAAGGAAGTATCTCAAACACTTTATTATAAAATGGATGCTGACCTAGAACAAAGGATCTTTTAAGATTGAAAAAGGCTTCGAGAACTTTCAAATCGCTCTTTTCACCATCCCAGATTAATTAATTGGGGAAATACAAGTAAAACATTTATTTCTGAACTTCGCGCTAAAATCTCTGCACGTGATATCACGAATTTCAATTAATGTGTATTCTTTTTTTATTTTAGCGACATTCGCTCAAAGTTTTTTCCTGAGACTTAGTACGTTAAGTCTAGAGTAATCTCGGAAGTCAGTGTACTTTGTTTTTAGTATTTAAGAGCTATAGAATCTAGTTTAAAAGTAAGGTCGAAATTTATGAACTTAAGGCAATTGATGCATTAATGCCACTATGTGAAGCCAGCCGAATTTTCATTTTGCGCATTTTCTTGCTTTTCGTGGCAAGCATAGCGATTTTGGAATCATGAAAGCGTAATTTACTAATGTCCGATTTCATTAATTCGAACACGCTTAATTCGAACTGACGCTGTGGTCCCGTGAAAGCTATGAGTATTCCCAAGAGCAAAAACGCCCTGCAATTCGAACGCGCAAGCGCTTGCGACGATTAATTCGAACATACCGCGCTCCGAAAATGCTCTCTGCACCACGCCCAATCCCATGGCGGCACCTCCGACACATCAACGCTGCGCGTGAAGAAGGAAAAGAAGAAAAGAAGAAAAGGAAAGGCTGGGCAAAATGTTTGCTCTCTCTCAAATGCCGATATGGAACCCTCTCCCTTTGACACATGAATTAGGTAATCACCACAGTATCAAGTCTGGCTTCAAGGACAGGAATGTATTATACACTGGAGGTCAAACCCACCAAGTCCAAGCAAGTCAGCGGTGTTTTGAGACGCACAGGCAGCAGGCGTAGCAGTACTCTGCGGTCTTGGCAGC